ACGGACTTTATCAATGCTCTCATCAAGTCGCCCTCAGTATCCTTTAAGCCTTAGCTCTCAATCGAGTAAGAGCACTGTGATAGTCTGAGGTGTGACTCATAACTTCATCTTCAATTAAGAAACCTCTAGACTAAAACTCAAAGTAGAAAGAGACTGACAAAATGAAAGTAATTAATTTCGAGACCTTACCCGTCATAGGAGTCTCCAAGAGAGTCTCTTTAAAGCTAGTGGCTTGGTTGGGATAAATTAATCTTGTTGTGGTTTGTATATATGACTTCGACGTACGTGGTACTTGAAATGAACTTTCTTCTACAACACAAAGTAATCCCAATGTCATCAGCAAAGTTCCTAGAGATCACTGACCGCAATTCTAGAGTTATCTCTACCAGCATCAAGTAGTCGAGTGGCATAAGAATGATTTTCACCTTGCAGTTAAAGAAAGGACTTGCTCAAGAAGAGCCCACATTCACAGTCATACCAATAGTGGAAGATGTAACCACGACAGAACCTATCTCAAGTGAAGTCAAAGATGTACCGTACAATTATGTCAATATAATGCTAGGTAATCTGCCAAAGACATTACCTCCTTGTAGTGACATCAATCGTAAAATTGAGCTCCTACCAAAAAATGTCAATTAGATGACTCAATCAAAGTTAGCAAAATTGAGGAAACAATTACACAAGTTGTTAGGTGTAGGGTCCATTCATCTCGCAAAGGCACCCTATAGGATCCCTTTGTTATTTGAAAAAAAAGAAAGACAAAGACTGAAAATATTTGTTCAAACCACCACACTTAAACGGTGGTGAAAGTTTTTTATTATAATCATTTACTAAATCAAATAAATTACCAATGATATGAAAAGAGCACTAAATGAAAAGAACGAAGGGAAAGAATAATTAATGGATACAAGATATTTTGCCTATAATAAAACAACAAATATGGTACTTATGTAAGAATGTTAAATATCATCCAAGATATTTGTCTATAATAAATGGTTAAATATGATACATATGGGGATAGTTGTAATAAGTATAATTCATAATATCTTATTTGTTTGACTAGCTTTATAGAGCCAAATACTTCACTAAACTGTATTTACGATCGAGATCTAACAACTACATATTCTGAGTGAGACGAATTCAAGACAACTTGTGTAACGAGATATGGGACTTTCGAGTTTTTTGTGATGCCCTTTAGCCTAGCGAACGCCCCAACTAAGTTTTATACATTAAACTAGGTTTTTCATTAATATCGGGATTAATATCTGGACCAGCTTTTTGTTGTATATCTTGACTAGTGTACACGGCCCCATTGTACCAACCCAAAATACACCTACATCTAGTCTTTGAAAAGCTAAGAAAGAATTAGCGGTAAGTTAAAAAAGAGAAATGTGATTACGCATGAAAGTGCATCAACTTCTTTGGGCACGATCAAGTGGGAAAATTAGCATGGATAACGACAAGACAAAATCTATCTAAAATACTGACGTTGAATCCTTCTTAGGATTGACCAATTACTATAGACGATTCGTGAAAGAAATTTTTGTTGTAATGAAAGCGGAACGAATGTACACATAACACCAATGAATGGAATTACACAAAGAGACACCAAGATATTTACGTGATTCGAAGAGAAGAAATTTCTTTACATCCACGGGTAGCAACCAATCAATGATAATCAAAGTGTTACAAGTGAATACCTCACTATCACACACTCTCACCAAAATGTCACTCAAGAATACAATGTGACACACAAAACTCTTTCAAATTCGGATATCATCAACCTCCTAGACAAGCCCGGGACAATTGTTTGAATCATCAAACGTTATTGAATTAAATAAGATTAATATTAAAATGATTACAAAATTAATAACCAAATTAATAATATTCTTATTTAATTAAATTAAATAAAAAAATTATACAATTTACAACTATCTCCCATGTTATAAGATAAGTCCATAACTTATTTGGTTGCCACCATCTCAAGCTTCGATTACCTATACCAAAAAGAATTTTCTTTTTCTTCATAAACCCGTTTATAACAAATTTCCTTTTTACCCTTTGGAAGTTTACAAAATCCCAAATTTGATTTTGAATAATATATTGGTTACTATTAGAAACTTCATCAATCATAGGGAAAATATGCTATCGTATTATCAAACCTAGTAGGTTTTCGAATTTACGAGGCTTTGTTCCACCTGCTCTAAGACATCAGAGTTATTATCTACCTGATCAATAGGTTCTTCAGTAGGAGCAGCCATATCGGGAGAGAACACCACCTTCTCCACCTGCTTCGATGCCTCGTCATTATTTTCAATTTTTTGCAACGACATTCCAAACTCATCGAATGTCACATATCGACTATTAACAATCTTATTTGTTTCTGGACACCATAACCTATATCCCTTCACGCCTTTGCTAAAGCCCATAAACTTGGTTTTTTTTACTCTAGGATCTGGCTTTGAGTCTGTCATATGATAATTGTCACATGATAATAAGCACGACAACCAAACACATGTAAATTATCATAATCTCTAACTGGAGTACCCGACCATACCTCAAGCGGAGTTTTTCCACCATTTCCAAAAACAGGTAAACGATTCACCAAGTGAACTGCATAACTGAGAACTTCAACTCAAAATGTCTTACTCAATATTGCTTGAAACAATATGCATCACTACCAATGTCTGGTTCATTCTCTCAACAACTTCATTTTGTTGTGGCTTACCAAGAACAGTGGAGTGTTGAATGATCCCTTCATCTCGACATACTTTAAGGAATGGATCATAAGTATATTCTCCACTGTTGTCTGATCTCAGTTTTTTTATTTTCCTGTCTATCTGATTCTCTACCATTTTCTTTCACTCCAGGAAGATTTGGAGAACCTCGTTTTTGTGCCTCATGGGATACATCCAATCTCTCCTTGAGTAGTCGTCAATAAAGGTGACAAACCACCTCTTTCCTCCCAATGAGACATTCTTCGTGGTACCTCATACATCAGTGTGAACATAATCCAAAATGCTTTTGTTTGGTGTATAGTGGTACCAAATTTTGTTGTGGCACCCTTAAGGACTCCTTGGTTCACAAATGTCTGGAGCGCCTTCTCACCAGCATGCTCGAGTCGCATATGCCATAATTTAGATATGTCTTGTTCTTTCGAACTTGCCATAGCAGCATGCCCAATTATTGTGGTTCCGTTGAGGTAGTATATGCTACCTCTTCTAGTCCCTTAAATTGCCACCAAAGCTCCACAAACTACTTTCAAATTCCCTCGTTCCAAAATGATACGATAACCACTCGCATCCAAAACGCCCAGGGGAAATCAAATTTTTCTTCAAGTCAAGAACATACCTCACATCATTGAGTTTTCTACAACCCCATCAAACATCTTGATTTGTACTGAGCCCATTCTCATCATCTTGCAAGTACTATCATTGCCCATATAGACAACTCCACTATTGAACTCTTTGAAGTTCAAAAAATCTCTCTGTTTTAATTTTTATTCATAATTTTAATTATTTTATTTAAAATTTAATATTATCCATTATATTAAAAATTCAAGGTTATTAGTGTAATCTTGAACCGTATGGGTTGACATACATGAGAATCATGTTCAACTAGTAACCTAAAGATCTATATTAAATGGATAAGGTTTGATGTCTTGTCCTAGTGAGACTATTGATAGAATATAGTTGATAATTGTTACAAATGGTTTGATCCAAATCATTCATGTGAAGATAGGTGAATGTGGGTATCCTATACATTGAGTTTGTATAAGATTAGATCATGAAATATTTAATCTGTCTATTTATAATTTATTAATTGAGAAGATTAATATTTCAAATGATGATCTCATGTAAATCGATCTTAATTCTAAGTGAGTTATGAACTCTGACTGTGAGAGCTTGTCCTTTGATTTGATTTGTATGGGTGAGACTAGCTTTTGTAGTCAATTCAATATGTCTGCAATTTTGGAGATTTGATGAAATAGGGAGTTGGGAACATAATATCACGAGATAAAATTTACTCTTTTTAATATAAGAAAAGTATATGAGTTGTTCTTTTAAATGATGATTTTGGGATTCGAACAATGAGACTCTACCTTCTCATTGACTAAGGAGGGATTTGGTTTATGATTGGATCATAAGCAAATTGTTCATTAAAAATTTGATGTTACTTAAGGTGGAAGGTATATATGCACACACATATGCTATGCAATACTTGAAGATGTACTTTTCTACCATTTCTATAATATATATACTTGAATTGTGAATTTCTATAATATATATACTTAAGGTGAAGTATATATTTAAATCTAGTGTGTGAATTGTTGCACAGTCCTAACATTAGGCAGACCATTACACCTAGAGAATATTTGATTGGATTCAAAAGAGTACTAGGTCTCAGAACCACCACCATTTAATGCTAAAAGAGAGGTGTTGGAAGAGGGCACTCTGAAAATGCCAACTAGTATACATACTAGGACCGAAAATTCATCCTAACTAAGGAAGAGGAAAAGAACTTCGTTTCCCTTGGAATTGATTGACATTGTATGGACAACAATGGATATGCAAACAACTCAACTGCAAAGTCTTGCATCGTGGTAGAAGGACAAGGATGAAAGAAAGCAGTGGACCAATATAAAAAAAATTGTGGACTTGAATGGGTGACAAAGTGCACCTTATAGATATTTTGTTCACCGATACCCATAAGACAAACAATTTGTTATATGTCTCGATGAGTTGAAGAGGAGATATTACATGCATATTGCTAGATAGGAATGAACGATCAACCAAATTTTCATGGCTTTATTATTATTATTATTATTTTGTTATATATTTTTTTTTTTTTATGAATTTTGCCACAGTGGTGGTTATATGTACTTTCGAATATGAATTAAAACAAATTTTAAAAACTTGTGAAATGATATGAATTTTTTTTCTATATTTTTTTAAGCTTATTTTTTTTCTTTATTATATTATTACTATTATTATTTTTTATTATTCATTGAAATGGGAGCGAAATTGGCTCCATGCCTGTGCGCATCAGCCAAAAAGCCGGTGCCCGCCGTGAGCATACTGTCGTTTTCATCTTCGAGCAACTGAACGGCCACGCTGCGCTCTGCACCATCTTCATCATCACGCTCCCGATTTCGACCTCTGAAGAAGAAGAAGAAGAGAAGAAGCTTTTCTCGATTCATATGACGGAGGACAGTGGCGCTAGGGTTTCCTTGGACGAACCCATCGCAGTTCCCAATATCGATTCCTCTTCCCAAACAAAGCCAAGGTATTCTCATCTCTCCATATCTGATTGTACTCGAATCCCCTTGGAGAAAATGAGCGAGATCTTGGTTGTATTGTTTTGGAGGATATCATCGTATGCGCTGCTTTGTTGCCATACGATCTATTGGTTTTACTCGTCTATAAATTTGCTTTAAGAGCTTTTGATGGAATTAATCTTACTAGTAGTATGGGCATTTTAATTTATGTGAGATGTTAGTCCTAGTCGACCAATTGAATTTAGTTTAAACTAACTCGTCTTGGTTGATTTTAGAAATGGACGACTTACATGAATTCCAGTACAGTGAAGTAAACTACAGGAAGAATTGTTGATCTTTTTCATAAATACTCACTATCTTTGTTGTGTTTTTTCCTTCTCTTTTATTAACTTTTTGTATATTAACATTCGCAGAAAGAAAAGAAAGTGGGATCAACCTGCGGAGTCCTTTCTTTCTACTGGTATTGCAGTTCCAGGGGTTCTCCCGTCATACAACATGACGCCCCTTGGTGGGGTTGCTGTCGCCAGTGTGGCGGCATTGGCACAAGTTTCTTCAGTCAACTGTGCAACCATAACCCAGGTGATTTAATATCCTTTATTCTTGTAGTGATATACAACCGTAGGCCATATCAGGTGTTTTATATCTTCCTACAAAGGCCTTCTTATCTTTCATGCAGCTTCAGGATTTACATAAATTCTACAAAGCATTTATGTACATCAATAATGGTCTATTGTTCCTTGTAGTCCAAAGATACCAGAGGGAATTTGAAGCATTCCTCCGTAGCATGCTTGGTTGTGCGTGTATTTTTCGTACATGTTTCACACGAGATGCAGTGTCAGTTAATAAGGATTAAAGTTAAATTAATTTATTACAACAGTTTATGCATGTTTCATGGTACCCATGTTTTTCTTTTGAAAAATTCATTAATATCTCTTTAAATCTGAATTTTAACTGTTTCATAGTTGTTGGTGTTGGTCTATGTCAATAACTACTGAGGCTTTCTGAGTGAAAGCAATTTGATATCACTAGGCTGTATTCGTGTCATTTTCACAGTGATTACGTAGATGTTTGAGCACCCCGGGTCTGAGAAACTTTTCTTGGATAATCACTGTAATTTCAATTATGTCATGTGAGTGCACCTCTTTCTTATCATAGAAGGTATTTGTTTTTGCATGTCTGCTTTTAGTTGAAGATACAAGATGAATTAATTGCAAGAGAAATATCAATAAATGATGCAGAGCCTTCTGTTCGGTACAAGCTCACAAAACGTCAGACCCAGGAGGAGGTGAGTATGTATTTAGAGTATGCTGGGTTGATGGTTTGATTAGTTTCTGATCTGTATGAATTGTATCCTTCACCAGACACAATCGTTCTCGTTCTTCCTTTATTTTTTATTTTTTTGGTTTTTTGTTAAATTGCTTTCCCCGCTATGTCTCTTTCCTTGCAGATTCAAAGACAAACTGGTGCTGTGGTGATAACGAGGTCTGGAAGTAATTGAAATTAATTATGGTGGAATTTTTCCTATGATGTCTTCTCTGAAGTAAACTTTGATTACACTTTCAGGGGCAAGTATCATCCTCCAAACACGCCTCCAGATGGCAACAAGCCACTCTATCTTCACATCTCTGCTGGAGTCCATGTAAGTAGGATTCACCGATTCTCTGGCATGTATGATGAAATGAACTATTTCTACTAGCTTCTATCGGGAGACTTTTATAAACTATGAACAAGCTTCTAAACTTCTTTTCTTGTAAAAGCAGTTATTTAAACACGTTAAATTGGTGTTATTTTTGTTTTAGTTTGGCTCTTTTTGGTTTCAACCTTCTTTTTGTTTATCCCTTGCATTCTTTCAATTTGGTTTGTTTTCTCATTAAAAGAAAATCTTAAATTATTGTTTAGCCTTAGTATGAGGAACAGAATTGGGATGTATTTATCAATAATGGAAGTGAAACAAAGAAATTTGCAGTCCAAATTCTGCAAAGAAAGCTTCGACTATACAGGTGGTTGTGAACACACACATATAATGTATTTTTGATATTTGTGAGTATTTGGGCTAGCGTACAAGCACCTAATCTAATCTCATGATGTAGTAACATGACCCTATGACAATTAGTTGGCTGGAAACTCGGTTCGATTTTATCATCCTAGGTTGTTGGCACTGCGATAGAGTTTGAACTCATTTCTTCAAAGTCCCTTCACTATTTCTAGATGCCCCAATACCACTAGGCGTACCTGGGGTGTTTTTGAATTTAGAATTTTCAAATTGAAAAGCTCCCCTATATTGATAATTTGGTAGGGATCCCAAGTATTTCTACCTCCTTTATTGACTAGCATCTTTGATCTGAGCCAACCAAGAATTCCAGACAAAGATCAAACCTACCCAGACAAACCAAATTAAACCATAAGAACTTTCATCGACTAAAGGAAGCTCCATATAGCTCAATCAACAATGGGTTTATTGAACTGCTTCAATATTATACTTTTAGTCCTGAGCCCACTGAAATTTTTCATGAAAGCCACCGTACTAAAGTTGTCCTTGAGACTCCAGCCACCGTTATATAAATTGAAAAATCCTCCAAAACTCTCGAGAAAGTGGTCTCTTAAATGAAAGGAGACTGCTATGCACATTCATTTTCCAAATCCCAATATCATTTGCTAAGGGTATCGATAAAGGGAAATGCCCTTTGACAACGTCGCAAGCAAAAACCAAACTCATATTCTACATTGCAAGAAAAGCGTAGGCCCAAAAAGAGTCTGAATAGTTGGACTAACCAATATGACTCTCTCTTCGAATGACTTAGAGCTGTACGTAACTTTTCTAAAAGAACAACTTTCGGTATGCCTCTCCTCTGGGCCTCTAGGCATTTAAAGTTCCAGCTTACCAGCCTCAAAGAAACTAAGTTTCCATCGAAGCTGATATCAGGGTTTGTTTTTTGTTTTTTTTTTGTTGTAATTTACACATTTATCATCAAGTTCATGAACTCCCTCTAGACCCCTCCTCCCTTTCTTCCCCTCATGTGGTTTCTTATTCCTCTTGTATCTTATGAGCTAAGGCACGACTTCCCTAGAGCCACTAGTGCAAATGTTGGACATCATGATTCAATTCAGATGGTGTTCTGACATTTATGAATGTTTCTCTGGTTGATATTTTCTTTAGATATGCACAGTTTTTAGCATTTTTTCTAGTCACGGAGACATGGTAACCTCTCCTTGTTGAGATATGGATATATTTTTAATATAAAACTTCTGCAGTTGAAAGATATGGCAGAAAGGATATTAGCTGTTGATCGAGCTGCTGCCATGGTTGAAGAAATGCTGAGACAGGGTCAGAATGTTGTGCCATTGTCTTTTAATTCTTTAAACAATGACTTCAAGGTATGATCGGAGTTTCTGCCAAGTTTTATTAGCAATAACTAGTTGATGTTTAATGCTGATCATTCATTTGCTAATTAATCAGGTTAATCAGCCATTGACCACGAGTGTATTCTTGTGCTTTGACACGGACCCATCTATGAACATTGCTGCTCGAATACGGGGACCAAATGTAAGTTGTTTATTGGGTCCTCCGTGTTTTATATAGTTTATGGGGCTACATTTTGGTCCATTGCTGTGTGGTGCCATAGTCTGCAAGGAAGTACACTTTCTTCTCTAGCCTTTTGCGGGACAATCCTTTGAATTATGTTAATTCTGCATATCTATTGCAATTGAAGAGAAACTGAAAATGTATATAGAGAGGGGGAAGGACGAGGGTTTACTTTTTTTTTTTTTTCCTTTGGGAAAAGAAACAATTTCATTGGTGAATGAATTAAAGGGAGTTAATCCCAACCACCAAAAGGTTTATACATGAAAGATCTCCTGTTGGAAATTAAGGTAGAAAGACTATAATTATTGAAAAGGTGTTTAAATTTACACCAAAAAATAGCACTAAAGATATTCAAATCCATAAAACTAGAGTGGAGGAAGTATCCCTGCAAGTTCATCCATTTCTCTCGCACCAAAGAGTCCAAAAAGAAACCCTGATAAAAACAAGAATATAAGCTCCTTGGGACAGTGGAACAGATGACTCACAAAGAAGGTAGGAGATCATGAATGTTGTAAGGCACAACAAAACGTCAACTAGAAGCCTCCAACATAAAGTTCAGATAGTGATAAGCAAAGGAGCAAAAACAAAATAAATGGCCCGGACATTCATTAATAGAAGAACGCATAGCACACTATGTAGGAGAGAAAAAAAATGAGGCATTTTTCTTCAGAGGCGATCAACAGTTACGATACTTCCATGACTAAGCCCCCATCAAAGAACCTTAATTTTGGATCAACATTTTTCCAAACGACTATGTAAATATTATTTGTAGTTGGACCTTTTGAGTGAATCAAATCGTCCATTAAAGTGAAACATTTGGAAGGATCGAGAGATCAAAACCATATCATTCATATTCCTCAAGTTAACAGACTATAAAAGAATATTAAAGGTCGGATAGATTACCCCATTCCAGAATTCAATCTCATTGAGGTTCCCCCGAAGGCCCTATCCCATGCTACCTCTGAAGAATTCCATATAAGAGCAATAATATCAAAGGCCTAGTTGATAAACGGTATAACCTTGGAAAGGCAGTAGGAGGAATTTCACATTTAGTGAAAATCATGCCCAAACACAGTGTTATGACCATTTCCAATTCTCTTTTGTTTTTGATTACTAATGAGAGCAATAATGTAGCTAATAAATGGTCGAGAAGATTTTGAGATCCCCTCGAAATAGGAGTTGGCCATAAGCAAGCTATACCCGTTTAATAATGCTTAGCCAGAATAACTTCCTCATGTAGAAAATGCCAACTATATTTAGCTATGAGAGCCTTGTTTATATGCTTTATATTACCAACTACAAGGCCTCCCAAATGTTGTGGAAGCTGTAATGAGCTATACTGGTTTATAAAATCTTGTCCATTTTTCTCCCACCACTAGGAATATAGAGGCAAGACAACCTTGTTCTTCCTAATGTTTACCCCCGTTCTCCTTTATTCATTATTTAATTGAAAAAAAAAATCATCTTTTTCTAAATGATTATTGTGTTATAACTGGTGGCTTCAGTTCTGACTGGTAAACGTACCATGTAGAATTACTCCATTATATTTATGTTCTTTTTGGTAGGAACATTAGGTATACTTCTTTCTATAAGCTAGAGGAATCTATAGGTTCTTGTAAGGGTTAAGAAGTATGGACACAGACACGATGCAAACATTATGACACACCATTGATGTAAAATTTTTAATGCTTATCAGTTTATGCTCCTATTCTCAATTTTAAAGAAAATTTAAACATTCTAGAGGATCTCTTCTACCAGAAAAAAGCTTAATGTTCCCACCAGAAGCGCAAATCTTTCCGATAAAAAAGTTTCATTCAAACATCACTCTCTCATCTCTTCACACCATTTTATGGGTTTTATCCAGTTCAATGTATCCTTTTCTTTTTGTTTGTCAAGTTCAAGTGTTTATTCTTGATGTAATTTTTTCTACTGTTAATTAAAGATTATAAATTTTAATTTTGACTTTCTCATTTCTCTAGCACGTTTGAAATTTTAAATTTTACTTACCAGAGAAAAAACCAAAATGGAAAAATGGGAGTCCTTAGTTCACGTGTTTGAACGTATGTGCTGTGTGTTTGAGTTGTAAGTAAGCCTCACATGACATTGTTCAAAATAGATGGTTTATGCTTCCGTAAGAAAGGGAAAAATAATTTATAGCATTACTGATTTATTACTTGCACAATGTAATTCTATATTCTAGCCATTTGCAATGACATGGTGCCATTCTCAAGAAATCGTGTATGTTTTCTTTGTTTTATTTTTCGTTTCATGACCATGTTCTTTGGAAGTTAATATTTTTGTTTCATACAATCAAGGTGAGAGATGCTAATGTTTTAAGCTTTGCATCTCCAAACATCTGGGGGAGATTGTTTTTGTGTTGGTGGCTTTGTTTTGTCTGTGTGCAGGACCAGTATATAAATCACATAATGGCTGAAACAGGAGTAACTGTCTCTCTCCGAGGACTTGGTTCAGGAAGTAGTGAAGGTGCATGTGAAGGTATTTTTCACCATGATGATTCTTACCATCATTATAATTAATAAGAGAGTATGACTGTGCAGTGCTATTTTATCATCCACTTTGAATTTGAATAAAATATTCTCTTTTTGCAGAACCATTGCATTTATTCTTGTCTAGCAACAATTTCAAAAGTCTTGAGGATGCCAAAAATTTGGCTGAAAACCTGATGGATACAATCAGTAAAGAGTTTGGTGTTTCAAGGTAATTGGATTGTGTGTTTTGTTGTTAGTGTTCTACTAATAAGTTAATTGGTTTCTGATTTGTGCATAAGCATTTAAAGAGAAACGCATAGGCATATTAATCCTCTCTGAAAGAAGTTGAAGTGCAGAGGCATGTAATCCTTTTCTATTTCCCATCTTTATGATCTCACAAGTCAGCAACTGCAACTTATTTCTACCATGAAGCAATTTGTTTTTATCTAAGGGTCAACATTCTAAAGGTTTATTGTCGGGGTTGGTTTGTTAATGTTATTTTTGTGGTATAAATTTCCCTACCCTTATTTTTTTTTTAATAAGAAACCAGGAACTTTCTTTAATGAAAGTTTCAAAAGCGGGCTATGAAAAATCAATCCAAAGGCAAGTGCATCAAAATAATTCCCTTCATTTGGCATTAATAAACTAGGTGTCATAAGTACAAGAGTTCGGGAGAGGAGAACCAAGTAGAAATTTTCCCTGACGCGTGATAAGTGTTAAAATCTTTTCTCTGTTGTGTTGATTTAGAACTCATCTTTTGGAGATTCGGTTAAGTAGTTCAGGCTATTTTGTGTATTTTATCATTTCTCATGGAAAGTAAAATCATTTAATTAATTGTTGCATGAGCTGTCGTTGTATATTTGTATTAACTATTAAGGTATAACTTTCGCCGATGTTTCCAACTGTTTTAGGGTTTCATCATGTAAGGTTTATAGTGCTGTTGCACCTCCACAGCAGGTTTATGGAGCTGTTCCACCTCCACCACAGGTTTACGGAGCTGTTCCACCTCTGCTTCAGGTCTATGGAGCTGTTCCACCTCCACCAAAGGTTTATAATGCTGTTCCACCTCCACTGCTTTGTTCAACACCACAGCAGTTGTATACAGGAGTTGATAGCTTGGGAAATGAGCCAAGTACAAGTTCAGCTTCAAGTTCGATCTCGTCAGCTTCTCCGACCATAGTCTCGCAAGTTTCTTCTGTTATACCAGGAGCTGCTCCTGTCATCACTCAAGGTTCAATATTACAAGCTGGATCGTTACAGTCTCAATCAACTGCCATTAGCTATTCCAAGCCACTTATATCTAGTGGGACAAACTATAATGGATATAGTGGAATATATCCTCAAGCGACACCTTTACAACAAGTTGCCCTAGCCCTTAAACAAGTATCTTCAACTACCATCTCTGTAGCTGTCCCAAACAGGTCAGCACCGAGCATGTCGAATGTGAGTGTTAGCACTGATGTAGAGAAAGAAAAACGTCCTCATCAGAGGCGTAAGTTTCAAGAGCTACCAATTTGTGTGCAGGGTTCCCCAATAAGCAATCAGGTATCAGTTTATTCCCTCTTGTTTGAGTGTTTACCTCTTTATTTGATTTGTATTTTGAGCCATTTTAAAGGGATCATTGAGGAAGGACAAGCTTTTCAAGTGTGAAGGCTGTGACCTGTTTAATGTCAATCCTTGCATAAATATATGAGAATTGATTGCCAATTTCATTGAGTTTTGCATGTTGACTTGTAACTTAGATGATAGAGAACCGAGTGTGTAAGTTGGACATGGACTTGAACAAGTGTGTGTGACGAAGAGTTCATTTTGAAAGTTCTTTTGGGGGGTTTAGTGTCAATTGAGGCAATTTAAAGTGAAATTCTTTTTGGCTTGTGATAGAACTTAATCTATTAATTGATAATAATCAATGGTACAAGCAAAGGAAGTATTTGATTGCTCCCATTTCTCCCTCGACTATATTGCCCAAGCAAGTCAAAAGGTCTCTCCCACAACTATAATACCAGAACAAGCCAAGATACCCCTCCTCTCCTATTGCCCAAGCTTATAACATGCATGAGGCCTTATTGGTCAAAAAGTTATGGCATTTTCTTCTGGAGACTAACACCGTATGTGCCATAAGGTTATTGTGAGCATGTACGGTCTCTCTGATTGGGATCCGAGAGGTATTTTCAGAAACCTATGCAAATCTATTGCTGAGAGGTTTCCTTTTTTCTCTCAGTTTAGTTTTTTTATGGGTGATGGGTCTATTACATATTTTTGGAAGGATAAGGGGAAGGTAGGTAGACTCTAAGCACATCGTTCCTTTGTTTCCATGAGGTGTCATTCTATGGTCTCTGTTTTTCCTTCTACTGTAATTTGTCTTCTCTTTCTAATATGAAGAGGACAAATATTTTGGATCTTGTTGCTGCTTAGGGAGTTTTTGTTGTTTAGGGAAGGAGGGGAATGTCCAAATTTGGGGCTTTGATCCTTCAAGGGTTTTCTTGTGGTTTTTTTTCATTGTTTGTTGGAGTGCTGCATCTGTGATAGGAGGATAGCAGAGGATGTTGACCACACTCTTGGGAGTTAATCTAGTTTGTTTCGGGAATCGTTTTTTTCCAAATGTGTGGTGAGTTTTGGGTTTCTGTCATCAGATTGCTTTTTCATTGTTCAGGATTCTTCACTTCCCTTTCTGTGAGGAGAGGCATTATTTGTTTCTCTCAGGTGTCTGTGCTATTCCGTGCGGAAGCGCTAGAGAGAAATCATAAGATTTTTAGGAGAGTTAGAAAGATAGTGAGAGGAGATTTGGTCCCTGATATGTACGGCAGTGTCTCAGGACTTTTCTAATTAACCTTTAGGTCCTATTTTGTATCCGCTTTCTTAATTTTGGCTCCTTTTGTTGGTCTGTCTTTTTGTATGGTCATTATATTCTTTGATTTATTTTCTCCATGTAAGTTTGGTATTTTTCTCGTATAGGAAATAGTAACCATTCATTGATAAATATGAAATGGGATGTAAAAGAGGTAATTGATAATATGAAAGCCTGGTTTCTGTCCAAAAATAAACAAGACAAAAACATAAACAAACATGACTCTTGAACACCTCCCATGACAGATTTTCACTTTCAAATACCTATTCTATCCTCTTTCTCCTACAAACAGTAATAACAGAAGGCCTATCACCTTATTGTTTTGGAACTTGAAAAGAGATTTTCGCCTTCAGGTTCCTGCTTCTGTTTTATTATATAGTATTTTTTTATTTCACATCTATAAGAACAAGCTAAAAAGCCTTGAGTAATTCATTTGAAGGAATCCAATGGTTTGGTTATCTTATCTTTCATATCGCCAAGCTAGAGTAAAAGGGCTGGAGATGTCACGCATGTAGTTACGCTAATATTTTCCTTTGGTAGAAATATTGATATTGTACATCTTAATCTTGAATAGACATGGTCCATCTCTTAGTTTGAACTTAGCCGTAGTTCTCAGTCTAGAATTGCATGACATGATGATTTCAATCTTTCTTCCGTATCTGCACCTCAATTGTTGTAACATTACGTCACTGGCTTTGTTCAGAATGACCTATTTTCGATATGCAGTTTATCTTCGGCTAACCTCAGTGCTTAATGTTACAGGTATTTTCTCTGACTTTTGAAGCTTTACAGGCTGAAGTTCTTGGACCACATTGTTGGAACATTGGTTTGTTTTTTCAGTTTCACAGGCCTTCAGCCTCCGGAACTGATGACTGTTAATGATCTCATCTAACAAAGATTCAAATTCGTGCCTGTTTTGTTGTTCATCTCCATTTTGTTTTCAATGATTTTTTTATCACATTATTCTTATGCTGTTGCTTGCTATTCTTTTAGTCATCTCTTGAAGGCCTTGTGCAACCATGACCGTTCTTGATGTGTTGCTCTTGATGTAGAAATTGTTATTTCTTGTGTTTTGATTTCTTTGTCAGCTGAGTCTGCCATTTTTAAAAAATGATTTAGATCACTTTTTAATTTAATGACCATATTGATATTATCCTTTGCTCTCACATACATGATTATTGGGTAATTTATAAGTCAAATTAAAGATGCTCATTTCTCCGTAGGCTTTTGCAGTGTCGGATTTGAAGTTGGTCCAATTATGTTGTATATTTCCCTTCTAATTCCACTTGCAGGATTCAAAACTTTTGAAGCCCTCAAACAAATCAGCAGCAGATGCCACTGTGAGAAATGTATCAAATATGCCTGCTCCTAGGAAGCTAGTTCAACCTTCATCCAATGAAATGCCACCACCTCGGCCCCGGTCCATGCCGCCTCCACCCACACCAGTAAAGTCTACATCAACAGTTAAGGTTATAGTGCAAGATAAGGAACTTTCGTTGGACACAATAAAACCTGATGTTGTCTCAGGTGGGAAAACGGACTTGGTTTTCTACTTTCTTGTAGTTTGATAGCCAATCACGCTAGAAACTGTTCTTTGTTAAAAAAAAAAATTCTTCCCAATGAAAGGATACCATTTAATTACCTAACCTGCTTCCATTCTAGTTTTTGCGAGTGATCTCTTGTTGATAATTTATGCAGATACATTAGTCAAGCTAATGGAATATGGAGAAGAAGAAGATGATGATGCAGAGGAAGGCGTTGAATCATTGAACAGCAAGAACACTACTGGTGGCTTGGCAAGTCGAAAACCTTTCTGGGCCGTGTAGGTTCATTAGTGAGAACATTTCCATCATCACCTATATACACTTTTGGACTAAGATGTGCTGTCGACCCGTTTCAACCTCTCATGCAACATGATTATGCAGTGGGGGATTATTTGTTTTGATGAAGTGTCGAAGTGGTCATGGGTCGTGTTAGAAATTGTTGTAAATTGGTAGTTTCCCCATACTAGGGTTGAAGTTGCAATGGAAAGATACTACTTTGTAAGCTTACAACATTTGTTGATCACGTATAATGCTCGAAGTTCGACTGCCTGCTATATTTCCCGAGCGATTAAGCAGCAGCCCAGAATGAAGGTGGGGGAGAAATTTTGAATGCATTTAGCAGCAAACACACAAAACAGAAGCAAAGCAGTGTGCATTTAAAATAAATGTTTCAGCTTGCGTAAGTGCATGAAGAAGATTGTATATGTCGCTCTTGTTCACTGCATAACAGATCTCTGTTCAGATCTGAACTTAGAAACACTTGATTAATTTTGAATTTTGTCTAACTTTAATTTCAAATTTTTTTTTAGTACTTTTAAAAACACTTTTTAACTTTATTTCAAAATTATGAACTTTTAACTGTTTTATTTATTACTACAAAAGTTAAGAATACTCGTCTCAAAAATAGTATTAACATTTTAATATATGAATGAAATTTGTCTATCTACCTTCATAAATCATTTCTCTCCTTTGTAGTCTATAACTCATCAATTTTTCTTTGTTTTTTTCTTGGGAGACTATGAAGTCTCACTTAGTCTCTTTTTCTCTCTCTTCTTAAATATTATTTATAGGAGGTGTTCTCTAATTTTTGTGAACATTTCTACCTATAAAATATAAGGAGGTTCAACTCTTAAAAAAAAAAAAAAAAAAAAAAAAAAAAAAAAAAAAAAAAAAAAAAAAAAAAA